TTTCTTCACATTCTATGCCGTATGTCAGCACAAGATCCAAAGTATGAAGATGAGAATGCGTGGGACTATTCACATTTTGAACAAAGCCAATAGTGTCTAAGATAGCATTAAAGGCTGCTCTTAAGCTATCGCCTTCAATGTCAGCATGGATGTTAAAATCTCCCACTATGATGACCCTGTCAGTATTTAATACCAAATCAGAAAGGAACTCTGAAAACTCATCTAAAAATTCAGAGTAAGGACCTGGTGGACGATACAAAGTTACAAAAAGAAGAGGTTTTCTTGCCTTGAAATTTGGATCAGGGAAATTAAGGGTTAAATGTTCAAAAGAGTTGTAGGTATTAACTGTTTTGGGAGTAATCAGTAAGTCAGACTGGAAGATTGTTGCTACTCCTCCTCCTCGCCCAGAACTTCTGGGGATGTGAAAATTTAAATAGCTTGAAGGAGTTGCCTCATTTATGCTCACATAATCCTCTTGCTGCAGCCAGGTTTCTGTAAGGCAAAACAAGTCAATGTGATTATCACAAATCAAGTCATTAACTAGTAGACTTTTAGAGGAAAGCGATCTTATGTTAAACAGACCGCATTTAATTGTTTTAACTTTTTCCCCAATTGGAGTTATTTTGATTTTAATTAGATTATCATGATTTACTCCTTTGGGAATCTTTGCTAATTTATTAGATTTTGGTCGTGGGCAAGACACTGTCTGGATGGAGTAAAGAGTGGGTAACAGTAGAGAAGCTGCAGAGATGTGTGTTAAACTACAACTCTGCTTTAGAAGAGGAATCTAATGGAGGATCTAGTGAATATTAAGCTCACTAGAATGAAACACACTGCCTTGGCAATTTGTGCATTTTTCTGCTAAAAGCCCTAAAAAGAAAAGGTGACGACATATTTGGAAAAAGGAAATGGCTGAGCAAACGTGGCTACAGCGGGCTTCAATTGTACAGGCAGAACTGCATTTCACTCATTGCGTCTCTGCCACACTGCTTCTACAAAACTGAGAGGACGAATAAAAAGAAGAATCCTTGTTTGCGCATGCGTCCTAAGCCATTTGACAAGACAGTTGGGAGAAAATCAAACATGTTTGATATTCTCCCAACCTCACTATTCCTGATGGGGAGGTGGTCGTTAGAGGCTGATCGCCGCTCGTAACCCCCTGTACACTACACGACGCACGATAAGGCGGAAAGTCAGCCCGATTGAAAAATACTCGCACGACTGGAAAATCGCCCTGAAAAGTGCACAGTGTACGCCAGGCTTTATTGTGCCTCCAATTTGACTGTCGGCTTTAACCCTGAATGAGGCTGATTCTAACTAATCAGCATTAGGGATGGGGATTGTTAATATTTATTGATATGGATACCTTTATCGATACTCCTTATCGATCCGAGTCTTTATCGATACCACTATCGATACTTTTATGTTTTTAACAGAACTGGTATTGCTTTTATTGCTTAACAAGTGATATATCCTTCTGAGAACCGAAGAAAAAAATGTTTTACAATTTCTTTTTTTGTGTGATTTCCCAAATATTTGGACCTAAAAAAACACATTACAATTTAAATTTTTTTAAATATATTTTTAATTTTAATTTTATTGCATGTCCACTGTGGAGAACAACAGGACAATTTTCATGGGAAAATAGAACAAGCTTAAGAAATAAAGATTATGTCTTGAAAGTGATATTTACCTATGAACCTTTGACATTTGATAAAAACAGATACAATTCTGTAAAATTCTTCTTTTGTTTGTTGCTTGCAACAGCAAAAATACATGTATTTACTTCAACAATAAACTATAAGACATAGAACTAAGCAGTTTTAGCTGTGATAATCCTGGAAGCATCTTTTCGTTTTTGTTATGCAGAGGAACATCTTGCATTTGGTGCACCTCATGTATGTCTTGCCATTGCAACCCTTGTTCCTGCATCTTTCCGCATGCTTTATGTCCATCATCTCTGCCATGTGTCTAGCTCCTAGTCTGCGTACAGATGGCTCTGGTTGTGGAATCCTTGTTTTGGTTGGTGGCTGATACTCTTCCTCACTTTCTTCACTGCTGTCATGAAATGCTGGACTATCCATCAGCTCTTCAGCCAAATGCCGTTTGAAGTCCAGGTAGTGCTCTGTGTTTTTAGCTGGTCGATTCAGTGCTATACTGTCAGACTTGTACTGAATCCAAGCATTTGTGATGGCAACATCAAAGAAATGCGTCATCACACGTGATGTCCACCTCTTCATCCTGGTAGACATGCGATAGAAGCTTAGCATTCTGTCACAAAGGTCTAAGAACACATAAGTTCCTGGAGGAACAGACGCGACCATTCACAAGACTGCTGCAGCTCCAACTCCCAGTCTTTGCCCCCTGAATGTGTTCTTCCCCTGATAAACCTCAAAATCAAGGATGAGACCATTTGGAGAGGCAAGCACAAAGACCTTCTGGCCAGTAGTGTTTGGCTTTCCTGGCACATACTGCCTGATTGGGCAACAGCCTGTGAATGGGGTGATTTGCTCATCAATGCACACTTTATCACTCCTTGGAAGGCTGAGACAACCTCAGCCTCACACGGTCAAGCAATGGTCTGACTCTCCAATGAATATCTGACTTCTTTGTCTCTTCACTCACATCCAGGTCATTGACAATCTTAAGTGAACTTCATAGCTTGTAGAACCTGTCCCTTGTCATCTTCTTCCTAATGACTGGTACTTTGGTTTTTCTAGCCTAAAACAATTTCACTCTGGGATATGTGGACTGATATGCCAAAGAAAATTTTGATTTCTTGGGCAGTAGTATTCAGTGACACTCCTGTAGTTTGCAGCTGTCTTTGATTTGTAAAGGCTACCAGATCTTCAAATATTTTGTCATCAATGTACTGTGAAAAGTACTGTTGGACTGTATTGGACTCCAGTATTCACGGATTTTAGGGTCATTGTGATCGGCAGGAAGCCCAGGTAGCACAGGTGTGAATCTATTTTAATGGGATGGGAAACAAATAAAGTTAATAAAAACACTTGTTAGGTTTTATTATTTATACATCATGTGCATTGTTATTTTGTTAGTCAGATTAGACAGAGCAGAAGGCCTTCCTTGACATTGTGGATGTCACAGTGTGTACGGAGCTCATCTAATCAGGACAGCCTTCGTGTCTTTAAAAATACACAGGATATGGGCACATCTTGGAGCCGGTCTGATAGGAGAGCTGCTGTATCTGTAACCCTGAAGCATAGAAGCAAGCTGCATGGAGTTCAAGACATGGATGGCGTGTCAGTTTCTGATACGGACAGCTAAGCATCCACATGATGCAACACAGACTCAGAAGGTATAAGAAGCAGGAGATGACGTTGTTCGGGGCTCAAACTTTGCCGGACGCTTGCGGAAGGGATTTTTGAGACCACAGCTGTGCATAGCTCTAAGCATTTTTCTCTGTCCTGTAACGACCTGATCTGGAATAAACTCTGTTACTTTTTTACTCCTGTTTTTATAGTCCTTTTTTATATGGTTTTACCCAGTTTGGGTTAAGAGTAGTAAATAACTTGCTCCCAGGAAAAGAACCGGTGAGGAGGCCCCCGGGGCGCCACAGCCTTTACTTCCAAGGGGACAAATCCTCCTAACTTTAACACACTACATTTGTTTTACACCATAATTTCAGTGTCATGGATGTAATATTGACCATTCTCAGAAGCATTTTTTTAGGCAACTTGCATATATTTAACATCTGTTATACAGACTACAAATTCTACAATAATCTACAGTAACATGATAATAAAATTGATTACATTAGCCTGAAACTAAACAAAACATACAAGTTTGTCCTGGCCCACAGAGGACGACTGTGGTGCGGCGGCAGGAGGAGGAGGAGTCTTTTCAACCCGGAGACAGTCAAAGGTACTGCATTTGGCCTTTATTTGATGCACAATAGTAATGTGCTTGGCCTTTGAGGTTGTGTTCCCCCCTTTAAAAGAGATGGTTTTGCAACAAAAGTTGCATTTCGCTTCTTCTTTATCTTTGAGCTTGGTAAAATGAAGCCAAACTTTTGACCTTTTCGTCCGTTCAGCCATCCTCGAGTCACGAGATAAGTTAACTGCCAGACTTCACTTGTTTTACTTTTAATATCTGTTTGCTTACAATTTCATTCCAAAACATTGGTGGACATGCTGCAGTGATTGGACTGATTAGATTTAAATGCTGTGACGCGACTCGAGGGACATACAATTATGTTACAGGACCTCCGGGAGAAAAAAAAAAAAAAACGACCAGACTCGATAGTGGTATCGATAAGCCCAAACGTTATTGATTTTCGGGTTTTGAAAAAACTGAAACCGGGTCCTTGATAGAACCGGGTTTCAATCCCCATCCCTAATCAGGATCTTTGGACAGATGTCAGTAGAAACTCCTTGGGACCCTCACTGAAAGGAACTGTTGCTTTGAACTCCTCGCTGACTTTGTGTTTCAGAAACAGACCAACTGGAGCTTTTTTACTAGAAGCTTTGTTTTCATGCGGATAAAAGTTTGATGGAAAGTGTGATTCTAGTTGATCAGAATCTATTCTGATCTTCTCTTCAATCAAAGGTCAAGTAGGAAAATCACCTGTAGACTGTTGGAAAGATCTAGCATTGAATATCTATGACTTCCTTTCAGGACCATAGTAAAGTGAACAGGATCAGTTCACTGAAGAAAGCCTGATCCAGTCGACTCTATCCAAGTCATCCAATCAGGACAGACCTGGTTCTGATCCAATCCGGCTTCAGATGTAGCTGCCAGCATTCGGAACTAACTGGTTCAGAAAGTCTCCCAGTTCTCCATTTGTTGACCCTGATTATGTAACTTTGGGATGTTGAGAGCGTGTTATGTTTCCTTCTGGGTTTTTACTGCCTGTTGTAAAACGAATGGCCCCCATGGGGATAATAAAGATGAACTGGACCCTGAACCTGGAAGTAGGATTGGCAGCATGAAGGTTTGATTCCAGGGTAAAGGAGAGAAGCAGAAAGGGACAATCTGATCCCAGTCTGCTTAACTGAACTTCACTGGACCTGGACTTCTGACTGGGATTCCGGTACCGGATCAGGAGGAACTGGTTCTGACTCCATTGGGTGGCAGAACAAGGAGAAAAGTCTGGATCACGGTGAGTGAATTTAATAACTGTTTTCATCTAAAACCTAAATTCAAGAGGAAGTAAAGAAGTCCAGATGTTTCCCCATCAGTAGGGATGCACGACATAATCGGCCCCCTATCGGTATCGGCCTGTGTCGGCCTTAAAACTGAATATCAGACATCAGCCAACCCACCGATATTTAACCCGATATTTGATCAGTTTCTGAGTTTCTAAAGTCTAAAAAAAAAAAAAAAAAAAATACTACTTCTTCTTCCTCAAAAACTTCTTTTTTACAGACTTAAAAACTTCTAAAGACGAGGGAAAAATATTGACGCATTAAAATATCACAATATCTTCATATGCTGATATATGGCCATTTAAAAACACCATGTCAATCTCTTTTACTAATGAAATATTGCTATATATCATAGTTACGCTACGAAATCCGAAAATTCATGAAATTTTGCCATATTTTTATATGTTGATATATTGACGCGGTATTGACCTATTTTACTAACAAAATCTCACAAGAATTTGCAAAATATTACGAGAGTTTGTAACAGAACGATGAAATTTCCCGAGATTTTCAAAGTAAAATAGTTTGATACCGCGTTTTTAAAAATCAATTTGATATCAGCATATGAAAATATATCTGAGTATATTATTTTGAAGTGTCAGAAATGGATAGTAAAACTGCTATTTTCATTGACTACTTATTTTTGTCCAGCTTTAACATCGTTATCGATATCGGTTATCGGCTACATGAGTTTTAAAATATCGGCATATCGGATATCGGCCAAAATCCCAATATTGTGCATCCCTACCCATCAGGACAGTTATCTGTGGATAATTAGAAACCACTCAAGAGCTTTTATCTCATTTTGGCGAAAAGTTCAATCTTTAGGCCAGAGCTCTGCTGTGCAGTTATGATGGTTTGATCTGGATTACTTATTATAATTTTTAATAAGGTATGATTTTAATTCAAATCCTCCAAAATGAATAGATATTTAAACTCCACTAGGGGATGGGATTATTGGGCTGATAGAATTTTATAAATATAATTAATAACAGGGATTAACAGCTAACAATCATTAACTGGATGTACCAGAAATGTTTGGACAGTCCAAAATATTGTGGACTTAGGTTGTGTAACCACCAGTAAATGTTAATAATTATAGTTCAAAGCTGCACTTGGCAGCATTCATTAAACAGAATCCCGGTAAATCTTTCTGTACACTTAAACTAGCAACAGTGAAGCTCTGAATTTTAGAGACAGCAGATTACTCTCATATAGAAATAAACATAGATGTGTATCTGATTTATTAAACACAATCTATCCCTGTTACAATCAACTATTCTATCCAACAAACTCTTTAACTAGAACACTCACAAAATAAAAAAAAACAAAACAAGAACTAAAGATAAAGCAGCTAAAATGATCAAACAGATCATCACAGCTGTAGCTACAAGGAGATATTGGAAAATTAAGATAATCATCATGAATAGTCATCAGTCAGCAGCAGTTATTAGTAGGAAACCATCAAAGCTTTGGGTACATCTGCAGGGATGGGACATCCATGCAGTAATGATGCTGATATATCCCATGAGAAAAACCAATCACCTGGCTGGGCTCCACCCCTGGCTCCGCCCCTGTATCAGAACTATAAATGTTTTCAGCATCTAGTCTAGTCTAGTAGCAGACATCACCAATCAGCAGAGACAAATATCTTCTGGTAATTTTCATCAGACCTCTATCTGCTCTCCAAGGGATGCAAAGTTTCATCAGGAGCTCACTTTCTGTAAACTTGGCATTGTTGAACCTCCCTCCTGTCGCTGCATTGTTTCCTCTTCCTTTACAGCTGCTCCTCCCTTCATCAATAAAGCAGGAGGTGTTACCTGGAGGAGGAGGAGCAGGAAGAAGCTTTGAATCCTGTTCACTGCTGGGTTTGGGCTTTCAGAGGATTTTCTAGACACAGTTTTTAATATTTTATTATTTATTTACACCTGAAAAGCAATTGACCTGTACAGTAAATCGTGACAAAACCAACACTTTCTATCAAATTCTCTCTCAGTTTTTAGACGAGCACCAGGCTACGTAGAAGTCTATCTCAGATAGAGCATAGAGCAACAGAGGACGATCGCCAGAATCTCTGGAAGGGAGAGTCGCTGTCAATATACTGTGATGTCATATATGTGACTGGGCTGCTATAGTTTAATTAGTGTGAGGCCCCACCCCCTAAAATCTCTGTTCTGACATACTGCACCTGTTTGTAACTCAGACATTGTTGGAGCACCTCTACTTGAAGTATCTCCACTTGTGCACATATTCATATGCCGACAGGTTTTGGAAAACTTTGGAGTCCTTTCTTTCAATCCAGTTAATATTAAAATCTTAAAATATAATTTCTTTTAAAATATTTTCAGGAGTTCTTTTTGCTGATCATAAAATCATTTTTAGAGGGTATATGATAGAGACAAATTCTAGTTAATGATATTTCAGCAGAGAGGGACATAATAACGCAGACTCATTCTAAAGTCCCACTACTAGGCCATATGTAGGAGCCATAATGATAGGTGTGCAGGCGAATGTATCACGTGGGCGTAGTTGCTGGGGTGACACATGTGGTGACAGCTGATTGCTTAAATGGGTGTTTACCTGCACTCCAGCCGAGAGAGGGGAGCGGGGTAGCCGTATTTCTTGTTGACCTTTTGCTTTATGATCTAAATCAGTATGTTACATTATGTACGTTACAATCTGTTGTGAGTGACTATATAAGTCTCTGGACAGGATTAAAAGACCAAAAGCTTATTACTGGATTCCGTGTGCATTTCTGATCAAGATGGCAGCGCCCTATACACATACAGGACCCTATTTCTACTTCTCAAGTGACAAGGATTGCTATGGAGTCGCTACACCATATGATAGGGCTGTATTTCAATATATTCAGACCCAGATGGTTCTTCCTGAAGTTAGGTTCCTCTGTTGCTCTACACACATGATTGGAATCAGCTTTCTGCTTTACTGGACACCAACTGGATCTGAACCACTGGGAACTGACTGGTTCTGGTTTCTCTGTCAGACTGACTGAAGTCTGGAGGATGGAAGATTGGGATCTAAAGGAGGATAGAGCAGAACGTCCAGGATCCAGCTGTCCATCAATGAGGAGTGACTGGTCAATAGGTGAACCTCCAGACTTCAGTGCAGAACCTGGATCCTCTGACATAAAGTAAGGAACCAGTTTCTAACTGATTCACGTGACTTCACAGAGATAGTACTTTTAGAAGTGAACTGGTTTATCCTCTAAATCCAACGTTCTTTCATTTTTCTTTCAGCTTAAAGCTAAACAAACATGAAGGATGTTAGTCAGTAAATCAGTAGAGTTTTAATGAAGGCCTGAGAATCAATGGTGGAGGAAAACAGAACCAACCAAGAATCCTAGGAGCAACCAGGATCAGAGATGCTCTCTAAAACTTCTGGACCACAGGAGGTTCTGGACTGGGAACATTTGACCCGACATATATACTGGGTCGACTTGATCCAATAGGCTGATGACCCGGCCAAAGGTTAACAGGGAAAAGCAGAACAACAGGGTTGGGTTGTCCCTTCACAGACAAGATGAACAGCTTTGGTTCTGATATCAGGGAGCAGAACCTCTGCTCTCCACCTTCTCAGACTAGATGTGATCAATGAGTCTGTGTCCAGAACTTTCTGGGCTTTACAGTACTAGTAATGGATACTATAGTAATACATTTGGGGAATCATTCCTAGAAATCTGATCTCATTAGCTTCCTTAAACTGTGACATGAGCATGTTGTCCTTAAGGTGTTGCTCTGACCCATCTGATCCAGACCATCAGAACCCAGTTCTTCTATGTTTGTGTTTCAGAGGTCAGAACCGCAGACAGAGAGCAGAACCTCTAGGATCCAGCTGTCCATCTTTGAGGAGTGACCGGTCCAAAGATTCCAGGCCATACTTCAGTGCAGAACCTGGACCCTCAGACTTGGAGTAAGGAACCAGTTTCTAACTGATGGATGTGACTGCAGAGTCAGAACCTCTAGAATCTGAACTGGGTAATCTTCACTGGTTTGGACTTTTTCTCATCAGCATTACACAGATTACTGACAGGTCCAAAGTCATTTTCTCTACTTCGAGCATGATAAATCCCAGAAGTTGTTCAGATCTGAATCGAAATGAGCAGAGATAGAGACTCAGTGTGTCATGAATCAGCACAATGGTTCTGGTTCCTTCCAGCAGTGGAAATGGGCTGTAGAAGCAGCCCTCAGTGCCGTGGGCTCCTTGGTGTCTTTGTCCACACAGTCCAACGTGTGGAGCCGCAGGTTGGGTCTGTTCAGAGCTTCATCATGTTTCTCTGTGCGATCTCTCATCCTAGCATCAAACGAAACTTAGCGTCACCCTGCCTCTGGTCCAGTTCAGGTTCTATTTGGATTCTGGGTGGTTCAGTGGTAGAGTAGATGCTCCATGTCCCTGATCCGATTGTGCAGGGCTTGGTCCTTGTTCTGGCTACATTAGCTGAATGTCCTTCCTGCCTTCTCCATCCTCATACCTGTGAGATTCAAACCTTATCAATCCCAGTTTGGATCAGTAATAGACAGAAACTAGTCAGACAGCAAAGAGACGGTTCTGACCCCGCTTCTGGTCCTCTGTCTGTGGAGGACCTTCATAAACATATTCAGCTTCAGTAGAACAGCCCCACTCTGTTGGTAGTGAACTATTACAGTGATAAAGAAATGTCTCCACAGACGGAGGGAGAGGAGTAAACCCCAGTCTGGAGAAAGTGCCAGAACCGGAAATGGACCGCTGACAACCAGCCAGAACAGCTGTGCAGCAGGTATGACTGATGATCTCCAATCAATGCTTCCTTCTTTTGTCTGTTGAACTCTGACATCATAGACCCATTGAATCACTGAATGGCTGAGCTCTAAAATACATTACATCCTTTTGTCAGTGAATCAACCAATTAGACCATTGAGGGATACTGGATGGATTCTACTCTCCAGAACCAGAACCAAACATGGAGAACCATCTTTTAGTTCTATTCCTCCAGGAATCTGAACAAACTACCAGAAAACGGTAAAAGTGCTGAAACCCTCAGTGGATTTAAATCGGCCTTTGACTGTACGACAGAGTATTAGGGCTTGGCTACAGTTTTTTTATTTAATTTCGAGAATTAAGTCGTAACATTATGAGAATAAAGTTGGAATATTATGAGAAAAAAGTGGAACAATAATGAGAATTAAGTCATTACCTGGGCATCAACACCTCCATGTGCAACTGGATTCTGGACTATCTGACCAACGCCCCACAGATGTCCGATCAAGCTCCAACTGCTCCACTTCCATCACACTCTACACTGGTATACCACAGAGCTGTGTGCTAAACCCGCTTCTCTACTCCCTCTTCACCCATGACTGCAAGCCTGTGTACATGTCTAATTCCATCATCAAGTGTGCGGACAACACCACAGTGATTGGTCTCATCAGCAACAAAGATGAGTCTGTTTATAGGGAGGAGATCGAGCACTTGGGCACATGGTGCACTGAAAATAACCAGCTCCTCAACACCACCAAAACGAAGGAGCTCATCATAGACTTAAGGGAAGATTCAACAGGCACCCACGACACAATCGACATCAATGGAATAGCTGTTGAACGTGTCTCCAGTTTCAAGTTTCTGGGGACCCACATCTCAGTGGACATGTCCTGGTCAACCAACACCTCCTACCTGGTCAAGAAGGCTCACCAGCTTCTCTTATTCCTAAGAACACTGAGGAAGAATCAGCTCCACTCAACTATCCTGGTGAACTTCTATTGCTGTGCAATAGAAAGCATCCTAACCAACTGTGTAATAGTGTGGTACTGAAGCTGTTCTGTTGCAGAACGCAGGGCACTGCAGCGGGTGATGAAAGCCGCCCAGCACATCACTGGGACTTCACTAGCCACCATTGAGCACATCCAGAAGAAACGCTGCCTACATCAAGCCCGCAGCATTCTTAAGGACTCATCCCACCCAGCCCACAGACTGTTTTCTCTCCTGCCCTCTGGCAGGTGTTTCAGGTGCCTCCGGACCAGAACCAGCAGACTAAACAACAGCTTTTCCCCCAGAGCTGTCTCTTTACTGAACTCTAACCCTCACTGATAGACTACTCTCCTTCCGCACACCTACCACCATTTTGCTATTCTGTTTTTTTTTTTTTAGACTGTAATGATTACCTGCACTCCTGACTGTTACTATTGTAACAAATCTTTATATGCATCTTGCACTACTCACCTTGACTGAATATTGATTTGTACTGCCGACTGCTTATATATGCACTGCCGACAGTTTATTCACAGTACTAATCGTTTACATATACATTTGCAATAACGTACTTTAACTGTAACATGCAATTACCTTCCACTGCACTTTAATTTAGATAGCTTCTGTCCAAACTTTATTTGCTCATTTTATAGCAAAACCCATCTGTATATATGCTATTGTACATTACTGTAAAAACCTTTTTTATAGTAATATCCACCTGTATATCATATTCGGTACATATCCAGCTGTAAATTTAGTTCATAACACTAGTGATCTATATATTATATTCATTATTCATAATGGTATTAATCTCTTTACTCATTCAGTAGATACCCATGTCCTGTATTTATGGAACCATTATTTATCCTGCACTTGCTGCTATTGCACTTCTGGTTAGACCTAAACTGCATTTCGTTGCCTTGTACCTGTACCTGTGTAATGACAATAAAGATGAATCTAATCTAATCTAATTATACCACAGCACATTTCAGAAAGAAAGCTTCAAGCCCCGACCTGCTTGACATACTGCCTGATTTGATGTTGGTGTGTTATCCTCATTTGTCAAACCGTTGCCAAAGTATTGCTTCTCATAATACTTGACATTCTTCATTTTAGGGAAGAACGTTCTTTTTGTAGGAGTAGTCATAAAATACCACTTTATTCTCATAATATTATGACTTTATTCTCATGATGTTACTTTATTCCTGTAATTTTATGACTTTACTGTCGTAATATTATGACTTTGGTGTCGTAATTTTACAACTTTATTCTCGTAATGTTACGACTTTGTTCTTGTAATTTTACGACTTTATTCTTATAATTTTAGGGCTTTATTTTTTTTTATTTTACGACTTTATCCTCATAATTTTATGGCTTCATTCTCTTAATGTTATGTTGCTCAGCCACCTCCTCCCACCAGCAAGCTGTGAGTTACAGAACCCATTCCTCCTCTCACTCTCCCCAGATAGGTTATCTGTACCTGGCGGTAAGCAGAGCAGCAACAACGCAGGTTATTTTTGGTTTTCTTAGTCTTAATCACCTTTCTCTCTTCTCCCGCAGAACCCTGAACACTGACGTTCCGAACCTCATCTGTGAAGCCTGTTCGGGACTAGATTTATTATTGTTGTGTAGTCAATACACATCTTAAATTGCTCCTGTTTTCCCCCATCTGTGTCTGCATGTGGGCCAAACACCTTGAAACCATGATATTTTTTGCTGTAAATTTCAGGATTTCTTGGCTGGATAATGCAATGGCCTCCTAGCTTAGATGCCTTGGTATAAAAACAAGTTTTCTTAAATATCTGTGAATGTGTTCTCCATAGAAATGAAAAAAACCCAGCCTCCACTGAGAATATCAGAAATGTTTTTATTCTTTGTTTGGCTGAAATGTTTCCTGCCGTGTTTTTGTTTCTTCATTTCCTTCAGAGGACAGTGGTGACCTAGTGGTTAGGGGATAGGGCTTTGAATCCTGAGATTGGGAGTTCGATCCCCCACTCCCCCAGACTGCCACTCTGGGTCCCTCACCACACTGCTCCTCGGGCACCGCACAATGGCAGCCCTCTGTGAGATAATGTTCAATTTATTTATTTAGATGATGATGGTGGATGTCAATGTGTTAAATTGTTTCTAAAGAAGAAGTTTGAATGTGTCTCTGAAGGCGTTGCTAAAGCTGGAAAGAAAACCTTTCCTGATGACATCTACACAGAGCTCCACATCACATGTCAATGATGAACATGAGGTAAGAACGATTGAAGCAGCATTCTGGAAGATAAACAGATGGAGAACAAAAACCAGTACAGAAAACATCTTCAATCCACATGAAGGAAGGGGTAAGATCAGAACTGTGATGACGATGGGCGTGGCTGGCATCGGGAAAACAGTCTTAAACCAGAAGTTCACTCTGGACTGGGCTGAAGGTAGAATCAACCAGAACATCTGTTGGGTTTTAATCCAGAGAAATGTGAGTTTAAAAGATTAAGAGGACGAAATGATCAAACACAGACAGGGATTTGGAAACGTCAGCCTCTGCAGTAGGGGAGAAGAACTGCTGGCTCAAACCAGCACCTTTTCTCACAGATCCCTTCACAGCAAAGCCTTTTATTAACAGTTTACAACATAATAGGGCAGGTCTTAAACAGAAAACCCAGTAATGATTATCTGGCAGGATGCAGGTCATAGGACAGTGTGAAATGACCATCTGGCTGGATGGAAGTCACACAACCGTGTGACTCTGCCTCCTGACCTACTGGATGCAGGTCATAAAGTTTATGACCCTCCAGATTGAATCACAGGATAGAACTGTCGTGGGAAAAAAGTATTCAACTATTCATCCTAGTTAAATTAACGGAGACCGATGGATTTTACTCAGTCGGCACATTTATTAATATCTTTGCAAAGAGAGAACAGTCATCATGGCACAGCATTCTGCTCTGTTCTGATCTGGGCAGGGTTCGTTCCCCCCTAGTTACAACAATCGAAAGCAGTCAGAGTCATAACAAATTACACACACTTTGCTTAACAGTAACATGTTATGAATAAACCTTGAGAAAGAATCTGGATTGTTATGGGAAGAAGCTCTGTCTGGTCTACAAACAACATTCTGCAGGGAATGGTGTGGCCTTGAGAAAGAAACAGACTGAGTGAAAACTTTTATAGTGAGTATTGAATATTAATATATAATGAGAGAAAGATATACATTTTCCCACAACAGTACCGAAAGACGAGGCATGTTTCGATACTCTGTAGAACCGAAGCATTTCGGTCGGTACCATAAAAGAACCGAAGTTCGGTACCCAGCCCTAAGGAGGACTTTGTTTGAGCTAATTTTCCAGTATTTGATTTCTAGTAATCTTTAAATCTGTTAACAATCTGTTGTTTTGTAATTTAGTTTTTGAAATTTAATTTAAACTGTGCCGACAAAAGATCATCTCACCGTCTCAATAAAATGGTTTCTTTTGATCCTCCTGCTGACCTCCAGGGACCTCGATGCCAGAAGTCCTCACTCCCTTAACCTTCTAACGGGCTATTGAGGCTGGAAGACTGCCTCCGCCAGGTGGTACCTGACACTTCTGACAATCGCTGTCCTCAGAAAAAATCAGTCAAAGACAATCCTGCATTGACAACGCCAAATTGTCGTGGGAAAAAAAGTATTCAACTATTCATCCTAGTTAAATAAACGGAGATCGATGGATTTCACTCAGTCGGCACATTTATTAATAATCTTTGCAAAGAGAGAACAGTCATCATGGCAAAGCATTCTGCTCTGTTCTGATCTGGGCAGGGTTCGTCCCCCCTTAGTTACAACAATGGAAAGCAGTCAGAGTCATAACAAATTACACACACTTTGCTTAACAGTAACATGTTATGAATAAACCTTGAGAAAGAATCTGGATTGTTATGGGAAGAAGCTATGTCTGGTCTACAAACAACATTCTGCAGGGAATGGTGTGGCCTTGAGAGACAAATAGACTGAGTGATAACTTTTATAGTGAGTAAATATGAATATTAATATACAATATAATCTCCCACAACATGCATATACATTTATATCAAAATACGCAACAAACCAAATCAAATGCTTTTCAGGATCTAAACTTAGAATCATTGTTTGCAAATTCAGCTGATTAACATGGTTCATGAAGTGCAGGGCCTTTTGAATATTGTCTTAGTTGGTCCTGTTCTAATACAACATTTCTGATTTTTATGGGATCTGGATCAGATCCTTCCTTTCCACAAGCTCCATGCAGGCTGCCACAACCATTTACGAATATATGTGCCATTTCCAGGTATTGCACATGGCACAAGCAATGCCAGAATGTGGCAAGTGTTGTGCAACCTTAACATATTTGTTACCCACCCCAGTAGGGGTAGTAAATAAGTTATTTACTCAGAGAATATTCAGACTGTCATATATTGTTTATGAACACACATCCTACAGGCTGTGGGTTTGAACAACAAATGAAAGTATAAATCAAGTTTAAATCATGGTCAAATAGATAATTCTGCACATATATTTAATAAATTCACCACAACTTCAATTCAAAATATAAGTTTATTCATAAAAATCATTCAGCTCCAAGTCCAACATCTTTCAGTTAAAAACTGTTGACAGTACTAATTAAACTCAACTAAGCTACTATATACACAAAGGAAACACATGGTTAAAACCCCTAATCAGTGAGGATGCAATGTTTTCACAGCTTAGCCTGGATTTTGTGCTTGAGAACAAAGATCTATCCTGAAATTTGATCAAATTAGCATTAACTAATTAAGAGCAATTGGAACGTTTTCAAACCAATTCACAGGCAAATAAAACAGATGAATAAAACAACATTTGGTTAAATAATGTTTTATTAAATTATTAGCTTAACCAGGAACCAATAACCTTTAGTTAATTGATTTGTTACCTTCCTTGAGTGAGACAGCGGATGTAAGGATTCCCAATAAAGGACTTTTGGTCATAACTTGGTAATCAAAATGTAACAAGCATATGAGCAAACACGTGACTGCTAAATTAAGAGTTTAACCCCTTAGAGACACAAATATTGTTTTTACCCATTAAACAACAGCTCCAAACATATTAGCATAGACTACCATGTAGTCCATCTTGTTAGCTTTGTCTTCACTCAGCAGTATAAACATAAAATGATCAAACATCATTAAAGAAACAGTGGCGTCGGATGTAAGAGTTTGCCCTGAAATCGAAGGATTGACGGTTCAAGCAGACTTTCAGTGTCGTTGTGTCCTTGGGCAAAACATTTCACCTGCATTGTCTACTGATGGTGGTCAGAGGGCCCGGTGGCACCAGTGTACGGCAGCCCCGCTTCTGTCAGTGAGCCCCAGGGCAGCTGTGGCTACAATGTAGCTTGCCACCATCAGTGTGTGTGTGTGTGTGAATGGGTGAATGAGTGAATGTAGTTAAAAGCGCTTTGGTCAAGTCTCGTGACTTGAAAAAAAGCACTATATAACTACAGGCCATTTACCATTATGTAGAAACTCTCCCTGACTCGTACTAGACCTGTACCTATGTTCATATCTGTTTTAAGAAGCTTGAGTTTTCTCCGGCATTTAGCAGCTTAGCATGGCTCAAAGCAGGGGTGCCATCTTTTGTTCCATGTGCCACACATTAGGGGAATGGTTTCCTTCTTTCTCTTTCTCCATTTAAGCATAGAAAAGTTCTTAAAACTCTATAAGAAATGTCACAGTCTGTTTTGCAGCAATTCGGTGCTGAATGTCAACCATCATGACTTAGCCTCTGGTCAGTTTGCAGCGACTGTTCCCTGGACATGAGGCAATGATGATGTCTCTCTGATGTGAACCTCTCAAAGCTTCAAAGAAAAGGAAAAAGAAATTCTGTGTGGTTTGATCTTTTCTGGAAAAGGTAGACCTCCGTAGGAGTGTTTTGTGATACCGTCTTGGGGGGAGGTGTTGTAGAGCAAAGTCAGCTGCAGAGCAAAACTGTCATCTTCAAAACCCATGGATATGTTTGAGATAAAGCAGGGATACTGGTTCCCTATGTCCAAATTCAAATTCATTATCTTGATGATGTGAGTAACAAATTCCAGTGAAAGTCATGCGGGCTTACCAGACAAAGGGATAACCCTGTTGCCAAGTAGATAGGAAGCATGATCACCTGAAGGCATAGTGACAGGAACCCACACTGTCACATAGTTAGACCATTCACTCCTCTAGTTGCTTGGTTGTAGGGGCACTGGATACACCTAGATATATCAACTGAAACATTTGTCAATCAGGTGTAAATAGCCTAAATCAACTCAGTCCAGACTACATTCCTACAATATTTCCTAATATTATTTCTCCGGTCATCCAGAAGGAAGTTGAATGCCATAAAAAAAAAGATATCAGAGCTTTAGTTTGAGGAAATATGGAAGAAGATTGTTTCTATTTCATATGAAACCATATAAAGATTTTTTTTTTTTTTATAATCCATGGAGGTTTTTATTTCTGCTCTGTTTATCAATTTTGAAATGATTACAATAGTTAAAAACATCCACAGCAGAATATAATCCATAAAATCAGTTGTATAAAATAGGTGAGTTACCAATCATAGCAGGTAAATAGAACATCTACAGAATACAGAACAAAACTATTAAAATTAGTTCAAAGGAAAATTATATTTAAAAAAAATCTTTAAAAATCAGAAACTTCACACTTCTAGAGGAGAGTCAGATTTCTTTAATACATTGTTAAGACAAAGGCTTTTTACCAAGTTAAAGCAGGTTCAAACTGATCAGTAAAAATAACATCATCATCATCAATCCTGTTTATCTTTTTAAACAAACATGTTTCATCATTTTAGGACTTTAATTTACCTGAACTACAGACTCCAGCCTCTAAACTGAGTTCTTTGATGTCCCGTAGTTTAACCCCATAATCCCAGCACCCCCTTTCAAGGTGGCTGGAGCTACTTTACAACATTAATTAGCTTGTAGCTGACTAACTCTGAGATTGACACACACTTCTATATGTCCCAAATCTTCATCTGAGACTCCTCTATAGATGATCTACTTCATTCTAATATCCATTGACCATAGCTCTAACACTGTGGCTAAAACAGTTGGAGTGTTGGTGGGCCTGGTTTCAACAACACATTTAGCAGGGCTGATTGATGCATTGCTAATGAAAGCCAACAAAGACACTGAATTAGCTAAACTCTGATCATTTGTAGCTGATCTCTTAGAAAATCCTCCAAAAACATCAGCAAAACTGAGCAAAGCACATTAAAACTGTCCTAGCTTTGCTTTTATTTTTTATTCTGAGGATGTCTGTTTCTGGAATATATCCATCTAATACCTTATCATTCAGCTAAAAGTTTCCAAATATCTCTTTTTTTCTGAAAAATTCATCCAGAAAAAGTTCTGCCACACCATGCCAAAACGGCACAGTATGGGTCTGTCTGGCTTGTTTTCAATTTAAACATCTATAACTTCTCCATTACTTGTAGTATGGAAAGCAAACTTGCTTCATCTTTAACCAATATGTTGTTGTTGCGCTTTATTATGTTTATTGCCTAAATTACAGAAAAAGTAAGAAATTGTGAATCTTTGTTTTTGTTAGGGCAAGTTTAATTGTTTGACCATTTAAATATAAATTACTTAACCACAAAATAATAAACCTTCAAATGTTCACACATATTCGTCTAGGACCCGAATATTTACCTGGTTCACAATATAACACCTTATCTGTTCTAGTTTCCATGTAAACAGAGCTGTTAATTAATGGCTTTCTCAAAACTTTGCTCCAAAAAGACCATTAACCCATGGATCTCTCATGTAAAGTCGTGAAGGAGTTTCAAGATGGACATTTTATTACTAGCCAAACATGGAAAACACACATAATGCTCATTCCTGTGTCGTCCAACTGCTGTGACTAATGTGAAACAAATATTCAAAAAATATATATAAACCATTTTACATCATGCATATTTAAATGTCATCCGAATACTCAAATTACCTCCTCATTTAAAACCTTGAGCAAAATTCATTCAGGAAACCAGCTGCTCACCTGTGTGAATTCTCATGTGTTTAGTCAAAATACTTTTTAGAGTAAAACTCTTGCCACAAATCATGCAGGAAAAGGGCTTCTCACCAGTGTGAATTCTAACGTGAGTAGTCAAATGACTTTTTTCAGTAAAATTCTTGTTACAAATGGTACAGCCAAAAGGTTTCTCACCTGTGTGACTTCTGATATGTCTATCAAGATCAGACTTAGAGGTGAAGCCTTTTTCACATGATAGACATTCAAAAGGCTTCTCACCAGTGTGAATTCTCATGTGAGAAGTCAAACTACTTTTTTGAGAAAAACTCTTGTTACAATTGGTGCAGACAAACGGCTTTTCACCTGTGTGAATTCTGATGTGTCTATCAAGATCAGACTTAGAGGTGAAGCCTTTCCCACAGGATAGACATTCAAAAGGCTTCTCACCAGTGTGAATTCTCATGTGAGAAGTCAAACTATTCTTTTGAGTAAAATTCTTGTTACAAATTGTACAGGAAAAAGCCTTTTCACCTGTGTGAATTTTAATGTGAGAAGTTAAACTACTCTTTTGAGTAAAATTCTTGTTACAAATTGTACAGGAAAAAGGCTTCTCATCTGTGTGAATTCTCATGTGACAAGTCAAATTACTCTTTTGAGTAAAATTCTTGTTACAAATTGTACAAGAAAAAGGCTTCTCATCTGTGTGAAGTCTGGTGTGTCTTTTAAGATCAGATTTAGAGGTGAAGCCTTTCCCACAGGATAGACATTCAAAAGGTATCTCACCTGTGTGAATTCTCATGTGAGAAGTCAATCTACTCTTTTGAGTAAAATTCTTGTTACAAATTGAACAGGAAAAAGGGTTCTCATCTGTGTGAATTCTCATGTGATAACTCAAACTACTCTTTTGAGTGAAATTCTTGTTACAAATGGTACAGGAGAAAGGCTTCTCACCTGTATGAATTCTGATGTGTTTAATCAAACTACTTTTTTCAGTGAAATTCTTGTCACAAATAGTACAGGAGAAAGGCTTCTCACCTGTATGAATTCTGATGTGTCTATCAAGATTAGATTTCTTTGTGAACATTTTTCTACAGGACAGACATTCAGAAATCATCTGACCTGTGTGGGTGTGAACCCTAAAATATTCGTTTCTTACAAAGTTTTCTCCATATGTTAAACATGGGAAAGGTTTCTCTCCTGTAACTACAGTCCCGTGCTTTAGAACAAACTGTTCATCATGCTCAGTTATGGATAGTTCCACGGTTTCCTCTTTTGTACAGAGATATTCTGGTTTTTGCTGTTCTTCTTTTATCTGAAGAGCTTCTGGTTCCTCTTGATCGAAACTGGAATTCCTCTCCTGTCCACAGAGCTGCTGGTCAGAGAAATTCTCCTCTTTGCCAACATAATCCTTAACCCATTTAGGCCTAAAACGCCTGGAAAAAACACCTTAAAAACCTATGGCAGATTTTAAAAAATACCCCTAAAACCTGAAGTTTTCCCTGTAAATTCAGCAACTGTGTCAACGCCTAGTAAATTATTGATATCTCAGCTTCTGTAGCAGATAGAACTCAAAATATATTTTATCTTTGAAATTCTTCACAAAAAAAAGTGAAAAGCAGTAATCAAAAAATAAAAAAATTCAACCTTTTATTTTTTCCATATGTGATCAAGTCTTCATTGAGAATGTGCAATATAAAACGTTTTTAAAATAAAGAACAAACATTACATAAATAACTATCTGATGATTACTTATTAACAGTATTATTATGCATAATAATGCATATGTCTGTTATAAATTGCATACAACTTACCTCCAGATGGCCACAAATCTGTCCCGGGACATATTTTGGGGGAACTGCGTCCTGAAGAGAGGTTTACTCTGTCGCCAATAATCTCTTCGTACTGGCAACACAAGAAGTCCCATGCCCATACACAGCCCAATAAATGTCTTCATCTCCGTCACAGTCACGGGTGACCACTTTGCCATCTTTGCTCTTGTTGGAGTTTGGTTTGTTTGGTCACTGTACCTATTCGTCTCGGTAACAAGATGCATCCAAAGTTCTTCATTAAAAATATGCTCAAATGCCTGCAGCGGTGTGGCGTCTGCAGGCAAATCAACTTTCACTCCAGGTGTGCGGTTGAAAACACTCCATGCATTGCGGTGGTAGTTCGATTGGTTCAGCGCGTTCAAAGTCATCATTTTCATCTATACCGTCAGCAAAGCCGACACACTCCTCAAAATCACTGCCTTCCGACAACTCTTCTCTGTCAAACTCCTCCATGTTTGCTTGAAAAAAACTTATTTCTTCTTGCTAGACTTATATGCTCTCCCGGCGTCAATGGTAGAATTACGCAACAGCGCCCCCGGCTTGAATGGTAGAAATGCGGTAATGCTTTCCCGGCCTAAATGGGTTAAGGTGGTCTGGAAAGACAAACACAAAGCTAAAGTAAAAAACTAATCCACACTAAAGTTCTGTGACAAACTTATTATTATTATGACAAAGATTCATGCAGCTCAAGCTCCTCCTATATGATGACTCAGTCGTAGTGAAACAACTGTGCATCACTATGACAACTCCAAATAGTCTAAACAAGTCTAAAGCATTAAGATATAGTACAGAATGACAATAAAATAATGATTAGGCCAATTGTTTCTTTTAAACTATTTGAAATGCAGAGACGTGTATAAAAACAACATGTCAACCAGAGGCAGAAGGCTGAAGCAAAATGTTTCCATTTGTTTTATCTGGAATACCCTCTAATTTCTAATAGAAAAATTAGCAAAAGGAAATGATTTTTGCCTTTGTGGATGGAAAATATGTCTCAACTGAATTTGGTAAGAATTCGATTTATTAGTAACTCCATAAAACAAAACAAGAATCTGATATGTGACTTGGTTGCTTGTCCGGGATGGCCACTTTTTCCCTGAGCTGTTGACATCCACAATAATTCTGGAGAACCTTGTGTTTGTTTAGACATGAGCTTTAGCTTCGAGGAGTTTGTACAGGCTCCTAGCCATGCAACGCTGGAACTGTGTCGTAAGGATGACTTGTTAGGTCTGGCTGAACATTTTGACATTCTGGTGAAAAAACATTTTTCGAAAGCTGAAATCAAGAACACTGTTGTTCGAAAACTGGTTGAGATTAAAGTCTCAAGAAAGACTCAAGCAAAATGGATGTAAATGTGTGTGATGACTCTTTTGTTGATCTAGGACTCCATCCTTCGGAAAATAAAGGAGCACCTGCATTGGCCACTCCTCCAAAGGAATTGGTAGAACCAAGGATGCCTAATACAACTTCAGACACATGCAACCAGAGTTCAGTGGCTTCAGTGGTAATGTTAGACTCAAGGTTCGGCTAGCTCGCTTGCAGTTGGAGGCTTAGGAGCGCGAGTTGGTGAGAAAAGCTGAGTTTGATTTCAAGCTCAAAATACGTAAGTTGGAGATTGAAGCTGAAAAAGAGGTTAAACTGAAACAGCTTGAGGTTAAGGCTAGGAGGCTTTAACATGACAAATCACCACCTCGTTCATCTGTCTACTCTGAGTCTCCTCCAGGTGGTGCTGGATAGGAACAAGTTTGATGTCAGCAAGAACATTGCTTTGGTTCATGTGTTTAGGGAGTCAGAAATGGACTCTTATTTTAATGCATTTGAGAGGATTGCTGTAGCACTAGAGTGGCCAAAGGAGATGTGGGCTGTGGTACTGCAGTGCAAGCTCATGGGTAAAGCACAGGAGGTTGTTTCATCTCTGTCAACAGAGGACAGCATGAAATATGATGTACTGAGAGAGCCAATCTTGCATGCTTATGAGCTTGTACTTGAAACGTACAGGCAGAAATTCAGAAACCATAAAAGGTCTAGTGCCCAGACCTATGTGGAATTTGCACGTGAGAAAGGACCCCTTTTTGACAAATGGTATGCTGCCAGTGAGGTTAAAGGTGACTTTGAGTCTCTTTGCCAACTAATTATGTTGGAAGACTTTAAGAACACATTGCCTGAGAGACTGGTAGTCTTTTTGAATGAGCAAAAGGTGGCCTCTCTTTCTAAAGCAGCTATTGTAGCTGATGAGTTTATGTTGACACACAAGAATGTATTTGTGTCTGTACCCCGTGCAGATAAAGTGTTGAACGTCCGTCAGCAAAAGCCTGACCCCACCCTGTCAGAAGCTAAGGCTAAGCAGCCTCCACTTTCTCCTCGTGAAGTAAGAGAGTGCTTTTACTGCCATAAAAAAGGCCATTTCATTGCTGACTGCCTGTCCTTAAAAAGCAAGGCTTGGGCAACACAGACAAAAGGTGTTGGGTTGCTTAAAAATGTGTCGCTCTCTAGTTATCAGACTGCTAAAAATGGAGATGAACTAGATCCCTGTTTCCTACCCTTTGTTACCCAGGGTCTTGTCTCTTTAACAGGGGATCCAAAGGACGGCCGGCAAGTCAAAATACTGAGGGACACAGGCGGGTCCCAGACAATCAGTCAAGAGGGTATTTTGTCTCTGCCTGTCACCTCATCTTGTCAGTCAAGAGTGGTTGTCCAAGGTATAGGAATGGCTTTTGTATCTGCACCCTTGTATAAAATCCACCTTACTTCATCTGTTGTGATTGGTTTTTGCAGGGTTGCTGTTCTTCCTGCCTTGCCCATAAGGGGGATTGATCTCATTCTGGGGAATGACTTAACTGGTGGAAAGGTTTTACCTGTGCCTGAGGTGTTGGACACACCTGACACAAGCTGACTTTGAACCAATGTCTCTCGGTATTTTCCCTGCTTGCATGGTCACACGGGCCCAGTCAAAGAAATACAGTCTTGATTTGTCTGACTCTTTTCTTGCCACAGGGCAGTCTCAACCTATCAGATCAGAGACTGAACTCAACCAACCTGAAAGTATCTTTCCTCTTCCGGGTCCAGATATGTCCAAATTACCAGCTTCTAGAGAGGAGTTCATTGCGGCACAAAAACAGGACATGACTCTGTTGAAATGTCATTCATCTGTTCTTACTCAGCAGGAAGCCCAGGGGAAGAAGGTGGCATATGTGCTTGATGATGGAATCCTGTTGCGACACTGGGCTGGTGAGAACTTGGAAGACTGGAATGCCACGTATCAGGTTGTGCCAACCCCATACCGCAGACAGGTGTTAGCATCAGCTCATGATCATCAACTGTCAGGGCATTTGGGTATAAATAAAACTTATGACAAATTTCTGAGACACTTCTTTTGGCCAGGTCTCAAATCTGAAGTTTCACTTTACTGTCGTACCTGCCATGTTTGTCAAGTTGCAGGCAAGCCAAACCAGGTTATACCTCCTGCTCCTTTGTGCCCAATTCCAGTAATGGGTGAACCATTTGGAAAGGTGATTGTGGATTGTGTGGGGCCTTTTCAAAAGTCAAGAAGTGGAAACCAGTTCATCTTGACGATGATGTGTGCTTCCACAAGGTTTCCTTAAGCCGTGCCCCTGAGGAGGATCACTGCTTCTGTGGTCATAAAAGCTCTGGTAAAGTTTTTCTCCATATTTGGTCTTCCTAGGGTTGTCCAGACAGACCAGGGCACCAACTTCAAGTCTAGAACCTTTGCCCAGGCACTAAAACAGTGGGGGGTAGAGCATGTCACCTCAAGCTCTTACCACCCTGAAAGCCAAGGTGCACTAGAAAGATTCCACCAGACATGAAAGAAAATGCTGCAAAAATACTGTATGGAAACAGAGAGGGACTGGGATGAAGGTATCCCATTTTTGTTGTTTGCTGTGCGTGACACAGTGCAGGACACTTTAGGTTGCAGTCCTGCTGGACTTGTGTTTGGACATGAGGTTAGGGGACCTCTAAATGTCCTTAAAGAACAGCTAGTTTCACCCTCTCGCTCTGTAAAAAGTATTCCAGACTATGTCTCGAAGATGAGAGAACGCCTTCAAGCAGCTTGCTCTCTTGGTCAGAATGCCTTGACTTCAAAGCAGGTCAAAATGAAACGACACTACGAACGGAAAGCGGTCACTAGTGAGTTTCATCCTGGTGATAAAATTTTTATCCTGCTGCCCATCCCTGGTTCTTCATTGGAAACAAAGTTTTCAGGACCATACATGGTAGAAAGGAAACTAAGTGAAACAAACTACATTGTCCAAACCCCAGATCGCCGTCGCAAGCCCAGGCCTTGTCATGTTAATATGATGAAATTGTATCATTCCAGGGTGACTGATCAACCAACTCAGAGTCAGGTTGAAGCCGTTTCCCCTGTATCCTGCATTTCAAAGTTGACTGGGGAGGATGTAGTAATACGCAAAAACCCTCCACAGGTTGCAAGACTTAGCAATAGTAAAATACTGGCTAACCTACCCGGTTATCTATCCCATTTATCAGATAGCCAAATGGAGGACATAAACAAATTTCTTTTAATCTCCCATGTCTGTTTGGGGATGTTCCCACCCAGACTTGTGTGGTGTCTCATGACGTTGTTCTTACCAATCCTGCACCTATAAAGCAGAGGGCATATCGTGTCAACCCCACCAAGAGGGAGATCATGAAAAAAGGAGGTTGAGTATCTGGTTGAGAATGGACTTGCCATTCCAAGTTATAGCCCATGGAGTTTTCCATGTTTGTTGGACATGAAGGCTTATGGAAGTTCAAGGTTCTGTACAGACTTTCGCAAAGTGAATGCTGTAACAGTCCTTGATGCACACCTTTGCCTCTCATTGAAGACTGTATAGATGAGATTGGACCAGCAACATTTTTCACTAAACTTGACATGCTGAAAGGATATTGGCAGGTGCCCCTAACAAAAGAAGCCTCTGACATATCAGCTTTTGTCACACCAGACAGTTTTCTCCAGTACACAGCGATGCCTTTCGGGCTGTGTAATGCTCCAACCACATTTCAAAGGCTTGTTAATAAAGTACTGGGTGATGTGCCAAACTGTCGGGTATATCTAGATGACATTGTTGTGTATTCGAATGACTGGTCTAGTCATCTTGCTACTTTGCTTGAGGTCTTCAAACGCCTTTCAACTGCCTCGCTGACAATCTTTCGAAGTGTGTGTTTGGTAAATGTACCATTCTCTATCTTGGCCAACGGGTTGGTGGAGGAAGGGTGTGTCCTGTGGATGCTAAAATCAAAGTCATTTCTGACTTTCCAGTTCCTACCAGTAGAAGAGAGCTCCACCGAGTCCTGGGCATGGCTGGATTCTACCGTCGCTTTTGCAAAAACTTTTCCACGGAAGCAGCCCCTTTAACAACTTTGACAAGCCCCTCTAAACCTTTTATTTGGTCTGATGTAGGGCTGCAACAACGAATCGATAAAATCGATAAAAATACCCCTCCAGCGACTATTTTTCAAAAAAGCGACTAGCGACAAATCTGGCAACTTTTTACGGTGTCACTGGCGGCTTTTGCCTGCCGTGGGGCGCCTCCCCCATCCCAACCCCTTTCTCCCTCTCCAACAGGAATCCCTC